TCCAGCGCAGTTGTGGACGAAACGTCAGGAAGAAATTCCCATGGACCACGGCTTCAAAGCCCGAAAACATTTCTAAATGTGATTTAACCGGCCCTGGAAGCATTCACAGTCTGATTATCGTAGATGTTTGGCAAAATACTCCTGGAGATTCACGAAATTCACCGTAGCTGGCCAACTATTGTGAATAATTTTTCAATTTGAAGCTCATTGGATGTTTGCGACACTGAAGTTTCGACTTTGAACGAAACGTTAAGTTCAAAAGTTCCAGAAATCCAGCCAAAGTTTCAAACGCGAATTTTAATTTTGCTTAATTATAGTTGAAGTTTGCAATCTGAAATGTACATTTGAACTGGTCTCGAGCGCAACTTGAACTGGGATGGAACTAGTTTTGTGTAACCGGCCTCAAGAGTCTCAACAAACGACTTTGAACTCAGTCAAAAAAGTCAAAATTTTGGGCCTTAAAATGCGATTTAGAAACAGAATCGGAATTTTCAGATAAAATTTTGTAACATTTTGGAAACATCAACACGACAGGGGATCCAGTGGTTGAACCAGTCTTAGTCGGAAAGCACGGTCGATCACTTCGCCCACTGGCTCATCGCCTTTGATAATGTCCAGCGCAGTTGGGGCCGAAACGTCAGGAAGGAATTCCCATAGACCACGCCTTCAAACCCCGAAAAACATTCCTAAACGTGATTTAACCGGCCGTGAAAGCCTTCAGAGTTTCAATAGATTTTTTACCCGTAAATTTCTCTACTTCAACTTGATTTGTGGGCAACAGCCTTTAGGATCTCGTTTTACTTTTCTGTAATTCCTTGTGCGTCTGTGGTTTTTTTGCAGTTGAATTACAGTTTTTTGGTCATTTCAGGTCACTCCTATATCGGCCCGATTGGTGACGATTAGGGGCAAAACCCTCGTATCCGAATGGAGGCCGCCGACCGAGAAAAACATCATCATCGTGGCCTGCAACGAGTCCCAACTGGTTGTGTCCACTGGAAATCAGGTCTACTACTTGGAGATTCACTCGAACGAATTAATTTTGAAAGGGTAATAGATGGAACCTGGGGAAAATCGATTTGCAATGGCATCGTTGCAGGGAAACGACGCTCGATGTGGAAGTGTCCTGTCTGGACATCAGCCCATTGGCAGATTCTTCCGTAGCCGACATTGTTGCCGTCGGTCTGTGGACCGACAACTCTGCGCGCATCCTGCACCTGCCCACTCTGCAAGAAGCCTACAAAGAGCTGCTTGGAGGCGGTAAGCTGCCCATAGAGCCGACGTATGCGCGATAATCATGCGATTTTTGCCAACATTCCAGATATAATGCCTCGCTCTATTCTCATGGCCACGTTCGAGGGACACGACTATCTTCTATGTGCGCTGGGCGACGGCTCCATGTACTACTTTTTGCTGCATAGGGAATCAGGCGTTTTGCGCGATAAGAAGAAAGTGACTTTAGGCACGCAACCCACTGTTCTGCGGACGTTCAGATCGCTGAACTCGACCAATGTGTTCGCGTGCTCCGATAGGCCCACCGTTATCTACTCCTCCAATCACAAGCTGGTGTTCTCCAACGTCAACTTAAAGGAAGTGAATCAAATGTGCTCGTTGAATTCCGAAGCATATCCCGACAGGTATGCTATTTTTTTGTTTTTTTTTTACAAAAAAAACGAGCTTTTTATACTTGTTTTTGCAGTCTAGCTCTGGCCACGGCCACCTCAGTAACTATAGGAACTATTGATGAAATCCAAAAACTGCATATCCGAACGATTCCGCTGCAGGAATCGCCCCGCAGAATTGCCTATCAGGAAAGCACCCAGGTATGTTTAAGTTAAGCTTGGTTGCAAGGGCGCCTAGTTTATTAAATTGCATCTTCTGCTAGGTTTTTGGTGTGATCACCTGCCGGATAGACATCCAAGATTCCACAGGCCTGAGCCCGGTCAGACAGAGCGCCTCCACGATGACGCAAGCTGTAACTGTGTCTAGCAACGCGTCTGGATCTGCTGTGAACAAATCCGGAGGATCGAGTTCGGTTGTTGCGGGTAGGAGCCGCTCAAACCCGTCAAGGCAATGGGAGTTTTCAATAAATTCAACTTTCAGGAGCGGCCGCTGAGTATGGACAAGAGGTGGAAATCCACAACTTGCTCATCATCGACCAAAACACCTTCGAAGTATTAGCGGCGCATCAGTTTATGCCGCAGGAATACGCCATGTCGCTGATCTCCTGCCAGCTTAGCCACGATCCAGCTACTTATTTTATTGTGGGTGAGTTCGAGTTGGCTCTAACCAGTTTGTGAAAGAATATCGATGTTTTGGTCTTGCTCCGACATTTAAGGGGCGCGTAGAAGACTTGTCTGTCTTAGGCAGCACAAGTTGCAGACTGGTTTTCAAATAGGTTTTTCGGGTTTTTAGGCCGTCGCACAATCGATTTTCTTCCTGACGTTTCGCAAGCACGAGTGGCTTGCATCTTCAGAAGTGGTTTGCTTGAACGCTTACACTGTTCTCATCAGAACCCGATCAGTTCT